TTCTCCTCAAACGCCAGGTTAAGGACCTCTTCCACCTCCAGCACCTCATTGATAGTAGGGGCATGCAAGAGAATTTCAACTCCCCAATTTGGGAATAACATGTAAGGAACATCAGAGCGTACTGTGGAACTCCCTCACCATGGTAAAACGGGCATCTAGGGGAGCCTCAGTCACCCGAAGCCACCCAAACTCTACCAACTAGGCATAGAAAGAAAAATCCTTCTCTTCCACCTTATGAATGATATCGCCCTCTCGAATCAAAAACTAGTAGTGTGATAGTCATGGTGCCTCACCGACTAGTGGCACCGAAAAACCAGATGAAGGGGGCGTTATCATCATTTTGACAAACCATTTAGGGATAACTTGTAGGAAATAAGACAAGTTAGAACACAATAGACTAGGTAAAGAAGATAAAAATGATAAGACAATAATTTTGGAAAAAGGGAGTCAACTACTAGTCTGGGCCCTCCCGCTACACCGAGATGATGCAGGCTCCGACAGTGAGATGGAGGCTGCTACAACAGCGTTTATCTGGGAGGAACTCCAGATTCTGAAATGGTATCTTTTCATCCTAAAATCTTTGTTTTATCAAAATTTCAGCAACTCAAAGTATATTAACTACCCTAGACCACGAATTATAAATTGTTTAGACCAAATAATCCCTAAATTTTGTCTAAAACTGAGTTCATCGCAGGAAGACTTTTCAATTTCCCCCACTCATTTTTTTATCAATTACAATTATAACAATACCCAATGAAACTAGGCAAATGCAATAGATATTCACCAATATAATACAACCTAGATATCAATTGAACACAATTCTTACATCATTAGAGAGCCCATAGAAAACTACACTAGAATTCATAAACATTAAGTCAATATCAAGTAACCCATATAACTTAGTAAAAAGCTAGGGTTCATCAATTTCATGGTTCATAGGTTAATTGAGTTACAATCATCAAATTAATAACAATTAAATCACTAATAAATGCTTCAAAACCATTAATGCAAGAGCCCATCCATAGATCATGAAATTGGACAATTCAACTTTGAAAACTTTAGAAAACATCTTTGAAAGTTGGGCTCCTTGATGAATTGAGTTTCAAGAATAAAAAATGTTACCTCAATTAATCTAATTGTTCAATTTGATTAAGAATCTCCACTCTATTCTCCAATCCAAGCCCTTCCTTAAGTTTTGGAGTTCTAGGATATTTCTAAGGGAATTTGGATTTTTGATTTTGTAGAATGAAATCTTCTAAGTGTTTTAGGCTTATAAACACATTTAAAACACCCAAAAGACCCTTAATGAAACGCCAATACTCTTATTCAGACGTGGGATTAATTTACAAGTTCATCCCTCAACTTAACAGTGAACTGCGCAGGAAGGCAGCCCACCAACGGTTGCCAAACGATGGCCCGTCCCTTGACCAACGGATCATCTTGTTTGTCCGTGTTTGGGGATTGAGGCTATTTCTTGGTATTATCTACCATATGCCTAAGTTTCAACTTATGAGGCACCACCAACGGGGTGTCGACTGACCTACTGGGTGTCGATTTCCATCCGTTGGTTGGGCTATCTTGGGACCAACTTTGGGTCCTTCCTGAAGGACCCTTGGATGGTCCTTGAGGACGTTTGCCCATATTTTTCCAACCCAAACATGCTCTTATATGATTTTAGGACCCCTAACATGAATTTCATCCAAAATGAACACGTAAAACTTGACTAAACATGCATAGATACACAAGGTCGTTTCAAGGTAAAACCTTCAAATGTCATGGAGATTCTTGGACGTTTTACCTCAAAAATTAATGAAACTTGACACGCTTCTTATATACACCGTAATAAATAATTTAAGGACCATATAACCTTGTGAATCACACATAAACACATAAAACCACATATGAGACACATAGGTGACTTAGTTGTCGAACATCTTAGTCGTCCTTTGACGTTTCACTTTCAAATCACCTAAACTCCTAGACACTGCCTCAATACCACATTATAGACCTATTTAGGACCTTAGACCATCATGAACAATATGTTAGGATCTAGTTCATCTAAGTCATTTTCAGAATCTTACATTAATATAATATGGGTGATTTAATATGACGTGCAGGCCAAGTGAAATGGCCAATAAGATCATGCCACATGTTGAAAGTGATACAACATGCCCAGTCAAATCAAACACGCCTCGTGTACATCTTACATGTTTCAATTATTAAACAACATAAACTAAAATTTGATTGGTCAAAAAAGTCATCCTAATCACAAATTTTTCCGCTCAACAAGGCTAACATGTTCAAACCAATCAAATATTATCATGTAAATTTCAGCCTAATTTATCAAAAAATTGCCCTCGGCACAATTGTTTCGTTCCAGCACAAGTGACATGTTTTATTTAATCAAATATCATTATAGCAACCAAAATATGGTAAAAAAAAAAAGTTATCCTGATAATATAGGTTTCACCTTAATAGAAGCTGCATGTTCTAGCTAATCAAATATTGTCATAAGAGTTTCAATTTGATTGGACAAGATAAGTTGTCATCTCTTCCATCTTACAAGGACATGCTTTAGCCAATCAATATCATCATGTCACAATTCTTCTAACTTACAAATATAAAAAGGATTTTCATAATTTAACAGGTGAGAGGATCTCGGAGATTAAATGCTATAAGTTCTCTATGAAGATCAAAGACGAAGGCAATTAAAAATAAATCTAATGAAGGCAAGTGTAATACCAAGGTTGTAATAGAATAAATCCACATAGTTTTGTCCATCGAAGTTTTTTATGTGAACCAAGTTCAAATTCAATACAAATTTGAAACTAAAAACTGAAATTCTTAAATTTATATTCAAAGAAATAGATAATAGGACTACTAGAGATTTTAACACTAATTATTCTTAAATATAATATCATGATTTTTATATTATTTATCATTCATATTATTTGCTTGGCATGAACTTTATTGTCTACCTCTCATTCTTTTTTTCAAAGTACAAAAACTACTATACTCTCGTACTTCTATTTTAAGTTTGTTGACTTGAGAAAGGAGTGTTGTCCACAGAAAAGGGAAAGGTAAAACAGAATCACAACTACCATGTGTCTTATTAGAAAGATAGATGGAACAAACACACACACACACACATATATATATATATATAAACAATGAAATGAAAAAAGAAAAAAAAACTTCTGTTGCAGATTTATTAGAAAAGAAAACTTAGTAGAGATCACTCGAATAAGCATTTTAATTTTAGAGAAAATAAATACAAACTTCTATGAAGCAAATGAATTTTAAAAGGAATAATAATTCTGAACTAATTTCAATATGTGAAGGGTTGAAATCGATCATCCATAGAACAACAATATGCATGATGGAATGAAAATTTGAGCAACCATAATGGAGTTTTAGTTAAGTTGAAGGACAAATATGTTAAGAGTTCAGGTCCATTGCACTTAGCAAAAGCCATGTTCACACCTATCACGAATTCAAATATATATATATATATATATATATATATATATATATATATATATATATATATTGATAGAATATAATAGAATCAATAATTCATGTTTTCATGATAGACAAGAATTGCAAATAATCAGTAGCAAATGTACGCAGCAAAAGAAGCCAAGATCGAGTAAAATGGGTCAGCCAAGTAATCAAGAAAATAGAGTTGTTTGTCAAAGCAAAAAATAATATATTAATGGTATAAGTTGATACAAATAAGGAAAACCTTAAATATATTATTAAAGAAGGAAGTTGTATATAATAATGATTGTACTTTAAAAGGGAATCCTTGTTTAACAATAACTTCCTTACCTTATCTGATAAGGATTGAAGGCAAAAGAAACTATATAAGAAGAGGACGACGCTGATGAAGAATCCTACGACTTCACATAGAGAGAAAAGTGAGAATTATTCATCAAACTGAAGTCTTCAAGATCGATAGGGTTGCTACGTTTGAAACGTTCTTGAGTGAGAAGGGTTTTTAACATATAGAGTTATCGTCTTATTTTGTTCTTAATTGTAATTTACAGTTTATTGTACAAAGGGTGGGTTTGTCTCTTTGTAGGGTTGAGTTTTAGTGAGAGTTCTAACAAAAGCTGGGTTTGGCCTTTTGGAGAGATCGATTGTTGTCAATTGAGAGAGGTAGTAGAGATAAGGCTTTTTGATTATTGAGTTGTAATCACAAAATCTTATAGTTGAATTAATAAAACGAGGTTTTTCCTTCCTTGAGTGAGGAAGGTTTTTAATTTAATAAGTGTTTGTGTCTTAACTTAAAAGCAACTTACAAGAACCTGGTTCTTATTCTGGGGTACAGTTTCTTCAATTGGTATCAGAGAAGGTCTTTTGTATAAAAGATTCACATCTTGAAAAGACTCAATGGCAGCACCACCTACCCCACAAGAAGGAGCTTCACAAACACGTCCACCACTGTTTGATGGCAAATATTATGGATGGTGGAAAAATTGTATGATGGACCATATTATTGGCGAAAACCCTGATCTATGGGGAGTAATTCTAGATGGAGCAACCATACCTATGAAAACTGCAACTGATGGAATCACGAAAATCCCAAAGGAAAAAAAAGAATGGAATGTTGAAGACAAGCTTGCAATCCAAAACAATGCCAAAGCCAAGAAAATTTTGATCTGTGGCATAGGACCAGACGAATACAATCGAATCTCGTATTGTCAAGATGCCAAAGTCATATGGGAAACACTACAAACCGCTCATGAGGGAACAACGCAAGTCAAGAAGTCTAAAATTGATAACTTGAACAGGCAATATGAGCTGTTCAGGATGGCAGAAGGGAAAACTATTCAAGACATGTACACCAGGTTCACCTCCATAATTAATGAGATGTACTCCTTAGGAGAGATAGTTCCTAATGGAAAGCAGTAAGGAAACTCTTGAGTGTCCTTCCTGGATCTTGGGAAAGCAAAGTCGAGGCTATCACTGAAGCCCGCGACCTAGACTCACTGGCCATGGATGAGTTAATTGGTAATCTCATCACATACGAACTCAAGAAAAACCAAGAAAAGGATATTGGAGGAAAAAGAAAGGAAAGGAACCTGGTTCTAAAGGCTACTACATCAGATGATTTTGAAGATGAAAATATTGCCCTCATAACCAAAAGGTTCACCAGAATGCAAAAGAGAGGGCAGGCCTTTCAAAAGAAAACATCTCAAAAACCATCTGAAAACACTAAAGACCAGGTTTGTCATAAGTGTGGGAGCCCAGATCACTTCATCAAATTCTGTCCACTTTGGGCTTTAAAGCAGAAAAAGGCAAACTTTGAGAAGGGCAAGGAAATTAAAAAGGATAAGTTTGTCCCCTCAAACAGAAGAATGACAACTCAAGAGGAATACATTTCAATGAAGAGGGTCTTTGCAGCAACGGGGAATTCATCTAACGAAGAGTCTGAGGGTGATGATACAGAAAACAAGTCCCTTCTTGCACTAGAACAAGAAGATGATTATGACTTTCTTGCTCTTGTAGTAGTGGAAACCAAGGAAGAAAAGGAAACCTGCAAATAACAAGAAACAATACTAGCACTCATCGCTGGATCAGATTCTGAAGAGGATAAAGAAAAAGAAGATATGAATGAAAAGGTTAGTCTTTATCACATACAAGACAATCTAAACTCATACTCAAAAAGGGAGCTTGAATCTTTACTCTACACTCTCATTGATGCATATAAAACCATAGACTCAAAAAGATAATTGATAACGGAAAACTATGCATCGCTAAGCGAAGAAAACAAGATTCTTGAAAAACAAAATCTTCATCTTTTATCCAAGAATACTGAACTAAGTAAAAACCTGGACTTGGTAACCAAAAGTAATGAAGCACTCTCCAAAGGGCTTCTTATGACTAAAACTGAAGCAGAAAATCGAATGAGATGGACCAAAATCGCACATTTGAGAGACATGGGATAGGTTTTGATAGAACTAGCTCTCAAGTAAAAAATCACAACATAGATTGTCTATGCATGCACTGTGGGCTGGTAGGGCATAAAAGTCATGATTGTCAAAGGAAAAAAACTGCTCATAACAAAAACTTGAAATCTTTGAGAAAACCTCATCATGAGAAACCCAATGAGCAAAAACAAATTCCTATTGTCAAATCTCTTCCTAGATGGGCCAGAAGAAATCTTATCCATACATTCCCTAAGAATAAATCAAAGTGGATTTGGGTACCAAAATCTAATCCCCAAACTTAAATTGGAGGGATCAGTGAAGAGGAAGCAACAACAATGGTATTTGGATAGTGCATGTTCCAGACACATGACTGGAGATAAAAGAAGCTTCCTCTCACTCAAGTGGTGAAATTCAGGGAATTGGAAAGGTTGGATCAATGGATACTCATGCAATTGAGAACGTATATTATGTGAATGGCCTACAACATAATCTATTGAGCGTATCTCAAATATTCGATAAAGGAAACAATGTTCTCTTTACAGAAAAGGAATGCAGAGTAACAAACTCAGTGACTGGGAACTTGGTTCTACTAGGTAAGAGACACAAGAATGTGTACAAAGCCAAGATTGTTGACTCCAAGGAAGATACTCTTAAATGTCTAAGTGCAGTCTCTGATTGCTCCATGCTATGGCACTAAAGAATGGGACACATTAGCATGACAACTATAAACAAACTCATATCTAAAGACCTGGTTAGGGGACTGGAAACCAAAAGTTTCAGGGACAACCAAGTATGTGGAACCTGCATTCAAGGAAAAACAGGTTAGGTCATCCTTCAAACCAAAGTTGACAGTAAGTATAACCTAGCCACTAGAACTGCTTCACATGGATTTGTGTGGACTAATGCGTGTACAAAGCAGGGGCGGAAAAAGATATGTGTTTGTAATAGTTGATGATTACTCAAGATTCACTTGGACATTGTTTCTTGCAACAAAGGAGGAGACATTCACTATGTTTGAAATCTTTGCAAAGCTGGTTCAGAAGAAATTCAACAAAGAAATAATCAGCATTTGATCTGATCATGGGCTGGAGTTTGAGAACTCACAATTCCTACAATTCTGTACTACAAATGGGATTGAGCATAACTTCTCCGCACCTAGAACACCACAACAAAATGGTTTTGTTGAGAGGAAAAATAGAACACTGTAAGATATTGCAAGAACAATGTTAATCTCAAGCAAACCTCCAAAATTCTATTGGGCTGAAGTAGTAAACATAGGGTGTTATCTAATAAATAGATGTATGATTAGATCAGTGTTAAACAAAACACCATATGAGCTGCTAAAAGGAAGAAAACCAAATTTAGCACATCTTAGGGCCTTTGGGTGTGTATGCTTTATACACAACAATGACAAAGACAATTTGGGAAAATTTGATGCTAAGAGTGATGAAGGAATTTTTCTGGGCTACTCATCACAAAGCAAGGCCTACAAGGTATTGAATAAAAGAACAAACCGTGTAGAAGAAATTGTCAATGTTGTCTTTAATGAAAATAACAATGAAGTTGAAGGAAATTCAGAGGATGAACAGAATGAGGGAACCTGCTCCAAGCCATAAGAACAAAAAATATGGGAAAAAGAATATGTACCCTCTGATAACACATCTGAAATAGGAGATAAGTCTACTAATGAAACTGGTTAATCTGCACCTCAAGAGCCAGTAAGTATTCTAACTCACAGTTGGAAACATCAAAGCTCTCACCCTTTGCAAAACATTCTTACTCCTCTTAACTCAGGCATATCTACAAGATCCAAATTATGTAGTATGTGTGCATTTTCTGCCTATGTGTCCCTGATTGAGCCTAAAAATATAAAGGAAGCAATGCTAGACTCTGATTGGATTAGTGTCATGCAAGAAGAACTCAACCAGTTTGAAAGAAGAAGAGTGTGGAACCTGGTTCCAAAACCTCAAAACAGGACGGTAATAGGAACTAGGTAGGTATTTAGAAACAAGCTCGATGAGCAAGGACAAATAGTGCGCAACAAATCTAGGCTAGTTGTACAGGGACACAACCAAGAAGATGGTATAGACTATGATGATACCTTTGCACCAATAGCAAAAATTGAGGCAATTAGAATATTGGTCGCATATGCTGCTCACATGGAGTTTAAAATCTACCAAATGGATGTCAAAAGTGCCTTCTTAAATGGTTACCTACAAGAAGAGGTGTATGTAAAATAACCCCCAGATTTTGAAAATACCATGTATCCTAATCATGTATATAAACTGGACAAGGCACTCTATGGGCTAAAACAAGCACCTAGAGCATGGTATGATCGATTGTCTTCTTTCCTTCTCACACATGGATATACAAGAGGAAAAATTGATAATACATTGTTTCTTCGAAAACAAGGTAAAGATCTGTTCATAGTCCAAGTATATGTAGATGATATCATATTTGGAGGAACCAATGACTCACTAGGAGTAAAATTTGCTCAACTAATGATTAGTGAGTTTGAGATGAGTATAATGGGAGAGTTAAACTTCTTTTTGGGACTCCAAATTAAGCAAACTCCAGTTGGAACATTAATTCATAAACAAAACTACATCAAGGAATTACTGAAGAAGTATGATATGAATGAAGCTAAGTCAAATGACACACCCATTGGGACAACAACAAAGCTGGATAAAGATGAACCAGGTTCACCAGTCAATGACACTAGATATAGAGGTATGATTGGATCACTCCTATACCTCACTGCCAGTAGACCTGATATAGTGTTCAGTGTTGGTCTATGTGCAAGGTTTCAGTCTTGTCCCAAGGAATCACATCTAAAAGCTGTCAAAAGAATCTTGAGATGTTTAAAAGGCACAATGAAACTGGTTCTCTGGTATCCAACTGGTGACTCTTTGATCTAAAGGGATTTGCAGACGCAGATTATGCAGGACATATGGTTGATAGAAAAAGTACCTCTGGGATGGAACACTTTTTAGGACCATGTTTAATATCTTGGGCAACTAGAAAACAATATTCAATGGCTCTATCTACTGCAGAGGCTGAGTATGTTGCAGCTGCTTCATGTTATGCCCAACTTCTTTGGATAAAACAGCAGCTTAAAGACTTTGGTATAGAAACAGGTTGTATTCCTATTCTATGTGATAACACAAGTGCTATGAACATGGCCAAAAACCCAGCTCAACACAAACGCACCAAACACATAGATGTTAGACATCACTTTCTTCGTGATAATGTTGAAAAAGGAAACATAGTAATGGAGTTCTACAAAACTGAGGATCAAGTTGCTGATATTTTCACCAAGGCACTAGGAAGAGAGTCATTTCAGAAAAATAGACTTGAGTTAGGGCTCATCTTTTTAGATTGAATTCTGTCCAACCAAGTTTTAAGGAGATATGAACCATGTTCGGTCAAATTGGTTCTACAACTGTTTTACACTTACCTGTCAAAAATAAAAAAAATAAAAAAAGGGGGGGGGGGAACACAATTCCATCTTCTCTCTCCTATGTCACGTCTCTGAAAAGCAGGTGCAACCGTCAAAGCACACTTCTCCTTAATGTCAATCCCCCATAATTACTCAAACCCCTCTAATACAACATCAAAACCGTTGCCAATAAAGCACTCTCTCTAAACAAGCAACCAACTTTTTCTCATCTTCATTCTTCAAAAAAAAAGAAAAAGAAATCTCCTCCATCACCATGGTTAACCCACTCGTTGCTTACTCAGATGATGAAAACTCGTCTGACACTGAATTTTCTCAAGGGGGAAGAGAACCCGGTCGTTGATGTTGTGCCTAATTGAGGGGAAGAAAGTGAACTTCCAACCAACCATCTACATCTTCACCCAAATCAGATCCGTCTACATCTCCACCACCAAAAGTTACATCTCCACCATCACCAGTTAAAGAAGCATCTCCACCTGTAGTTGCAAAATCTCCACCACCACCCACCATAGAAACTCCACCATCACCAATCCAAGAAACCCCATTATCACCAAACCCAGAAACCCCTACAACCACTGTCCCAAATAACCCCCCTTCTTCCCCATCTCACAAAATTACTCCTCAAAACCCACCACCATCTCCACATTATCCAATCAATGATTACATTCTTTTGAGTACCCTTCACCCTAAAAAACCAAGAAAGCACATTGCAGTTAAGCAGGTTCGTCCACACAGGCCAATGACTCGGAGTGCGAATGTGGCCAAACCAACTGATGGTGCAACATCTAGTGTGAAGCGTCGTCGTTTGGGTAAGTCTCTTGCTCACTCATCTGTTTCTCCAATGAATCTTGATTCTGAAACTGATGATGTCTCTAAGGGTAAACATTCTGCAACTCCTCAATCAAAATCAAAATCTGCAAAAAGAAATGTAGATAATTTCGCATAGTGGGAAAGAAAAAGTATTTCCAAACCAAGACAGTGCTTAGAGGTAGAACTTTTCATCCTGGTATACTTTCAATGGATATAGTCAAGCAGGTTTGTGAACTACTAATGTTTCAGGGGTTGGAGGAATTATTCCTTGAACCTAATTTGATTTATGAACACGAAGTGGTAGACTTCTATACAAACTTGGTAATCCTAGAAAGAGATGTGGTATCATCTAGTGTGAAGGGGGTTGGCATTGTCTTTGATGCAACTAAACTTGGGGAAATCTTGCATATACCATATGTGGGGATTAATGAGTACAGTTGGGGTTTTGATGAATTTTCTAGCTTGCCAGCCAAATTCTCTCAAGGTAGAGTCAATTCTAGGGCACAAACTGTTTTAAAGGGCATTATGAGATCTTTGCATAAGCTTCTTTTCGAGATAGTTCATAAGGTGATACTGCCTAGAGATCACCAACGTCACATTGCCTCCATAAGAGACATGGGACTTATGAATGCTCTTGAGTGCAAAGAACGCATTGACTGGCCCACACTGATTATCAAACATCTTGCTAGAATTGTTGATCCTAAACTAGGTTCTCATCAGTTAGCTTTTGATGCATTTGAAGTACCATTGGGAGAAGACAGGATTTTAACTCATGCATATATGTTCACTCAAACCATCCTTGCTGATTGTGGCATTCCCATGGAGTCAGAACAGGTTGCAAATGCTTCTCCACGTACATCTGGTCCTGTTGCTCAGTTACTCAGGGAACTTAAAGTAGCTGAAGAAAAGAATGCTACTCTTAAGTCAGAAAACCAGAAGTTACGTGTTGAACTTGACACTTCAAATGCTGAAATTCATAGGTTGAAGGATCAGTTTGTGCAGCAGCAACTTGCTAACAATGCAAGAGTTGACAGAGTTCTAGATATGCTGGCTTCTGCTTCAACTAAGCCAGGTTAACCTTCACATTGAAAAAGCATCTTGTTTGCAGCTGGTTCTCTTAGTTATTTAAACTCTGTGTTGTTACTCTTTGTTTTGTTGCCAGAACATTTTATTACGCTCAACTGGCTGGGCTTAAATTGTTGATATGGATGTTGATTGGGTTTGCTTATTGCTGTTGGATTCTTTTTTATTTGTCAAAAGGGGGAAGAGTATTTGCGCATGCATCACACAGATAGATTTGTTTGTCTTCATCAAAAAGGGGGAATATGATAGAATATTATAGAATCAATAATTCATGTTTTGATGATAGACAAGAAGTGCAAATAATCAGTAGCAAATGTACGCAGCAAAAGAAGCCAAGCTCGAGTTCAAGATCGAGTAAAATGGGTCAGCCAAGTAATCAAGAAAATAGAGTTGTTTGTCAAAGTCAAAAATAATATATTAAAGATATATGTTGAAACAAATAAGGAAAACTTTAAATATATTATTAAGTAAGGAAGTTGTATATAATAAGGATTGTACTTTAAAAGGGAATCCTTGTTTAACAATAACTTCCTTACCTTATCTGATAAGGATTGAAAGCAAAAGAAACTCTATAAGAAGAGGACGACGCTGATGAAGAATCCTACGACTTAACATAGAGGAAAAAGTGAGAATTATTCATCAGACTGAAGTCTTCAAGATCGATAGGGTTGCTACGTTTAAAACGTTCTTGAGTGAGAAGGTTTTTAACGTGTAGAGTTATCGTCTTGTTTTGTTCTTAATTGTAATTTACAGTTTATTGTACAAAGGGTGGGTTTGGCTCTTTGTAGGGTTGAGTTTTAGTGAGAGTTGTAACAAAAGGTGGGTTTGGCCTTTTGGAGAGATCGATTGTAGTCAATCGATAGAGGTAGTAGAGATAAGGCTTTTTGATTATTGAGTTGTAATCAGAAAATCTTATAGTTGAATTAATAAAATGAGGTTTTTCCTTCCTTGACTGAGGAAGGTTTTTAATATAATAAATGTTTGTGTCTTTACTTAAAAGCAACTTACAAGAACCCGATTCTTGTTCTGGGTACGGTTTCTTCATATATATATATATATATATATATATATATATATATATATATATATATATATATATATTTGTTCAATGTGTTCACATCGTTTCTTGTCTTACTCCCCAAAAGTTATTTGCAAAACCTCTAATGGAGTTCCAATTCATTGTACTATCTTTATTATTACACAAAAAGAGCAATGGTATCATCCAAAATTTAAGTACATTTAATAGCGACTAAGTTAAGAAGATGAATTAAAAGAGTAAAAACTCAATTGAAGAGTATGTTTGAGAGGAACATAGAAGTAATGAGGAAGAAAAGAAAAACTTATTTTTTATTGAATAAATTCTCCAATGCTACATACATTGCTTTATATATAACCACATGGTATGACTAATCTCTTCTAACTAATTTACTTACACATTCTAACTAACTAACTAACCAGCTAAACATATTTAAATCTTTTATGGTGTACAATTACAGCTAGTATTATTAGGGAACTTGTACACATTTAGTTAGTTCTTTTACAGATTAAAAATTGAGTTGAGAAGACATATCAAAGACACTCTATCAAAATTTAATAGCGAATAAAAGTTGAATAATGAACACTTATCATAAAGAGTAAAACGTAATTACACTTATATGGAGAAGATAAATTGTTTTAATTTTGTTTGATGATATTTCCTAAAGAGACAATCTTACAAGATAAGTGTGTACATTTTATTAACATGATTAAAAAAATGCTTATTGAGGTCTGTTTTTTTAAAAAAATCTTATGTAGCAATTTTTCGTTTCAGCTTTGCACCTGAGATGTTCAAGACCATAAACATTAAAAAATATTTTGATATATTTGATTATTAAATGTTAAAGTCTAATTTACTATCTTAAATTTTGTATCAAATTAAAATACGACAATTTATTTAAAAGGGAGAGTGTAGTACAAAGTAAAAGCCTGTTTGAATTGGCTTTAAAAGTAGATTTTAAGTCAAAAATAAAAAATTAAATCGAAATGACTTTTAAGTCAAAAAAATAAAAAGTACCTACTTTTGATTTTTTTTTGATATATTTTGAGTCATTTTAAACTTATTTTAAGTTATTTTTTTACCTTGTCAAACACTTCTTAACTAATTTGAAGTCAGTTTTAACTTATTTTAAATTAATTTTTATATTTTTCAATCACTTTCAAAAGTAAAAATTAACTTTAAATAAGTTTGACTAATTTTTAAATCAATGCTAACACCTTCTAAGTTTTTGAAAAGAACTTATAACTTGTGTCACAAAAAAAAGGAAACACGCTAATAAATTTCGAAGTTAATGTTGACTCTTATTCTTTGTAATGGTTGGGGACACTTATTGTCTCTTTGAAATAAAGAAGGAAAAAAAAACAAAGTATGATAGGTATAACACTTGAATTTCATAAATAAAATTTCTAAGATTTAAACTTATTTTATACTCCCTCCCTTTTGTCCCTAATTGCGTATCTATTTTTTTTTTTAGTTGTTCTTAATTATTTGTTCAATTTGACAAATCAAGAAGGACAAAATATATTTACCTATCATACCCTAAATTAATTACTTTGAAAAAGATATAACTTTTTGAAAATTCTAAGTTTTCAATTCGTCCACTATATAATTAATATGGGTAAAATGATAAACTCAATATGTCAATAATTACTTTTTTAATAGATTTATTAATTCAAAAATGAACAAATAATTAGAGATAGAAAGAGTAAGACTTTTGAGATAAAAGTTTAGATTGATTCCAAATGATGTTAGAAAGCAATCTTTTAATAATATGAAGGAATTTACACCTGGACCTTTGAAATTGTAAATTATTTGTCATCTTATATAGAATAAAATAATCTCATTGATTCTTAAGTTCTTATATAATTTACCATACTTAATAATAATCGTGATTATTTACTAATTGTCTGATTTCTTTTTTAATGCGTTTAACTTTTATATAATAACATTTATAATATTGGATTGTTGCTGACATGGATCATCACCTCTAGTTATTATTAGAAATAACATTTATGAGTTATTTTACGAATTGGTTATAAAAATCATATTTCAATTTTATTTTTATTTTTATTATTTTATGATTTCTTAACTTATAATATGATAATAATCTATTTGAGAACTTTTAAGTTATTTTTCATAAATATGAGTATTGGAATCAACTTACAAAGAAAAAACTAAACGATCAAAATAAAAAAAAAAATTGAAAAAGATTAGTTTTGATGAAATTATATAAAAAGGATTTGAATATTAATATGATGTGTTTAATTATTATGTATTATTTTTTTCTTAGGACATCTATATTATAAGAAATAACTTTGTTAATTCAAGATATCATTACAAAAGATACATTAGCAATAATATTTATTCAAAATATCTGTCTCAAAATTATATTATTATTTTCTAAAAGAATAAAAATACAAACAATATATGGACGATTCATTAATCATTTGTCACATCTTGTAACTCGAAATAACTAAGAATAAGCTAAGAAATAAAAAAAAATAACCACTTTTGGAAAGAAAGGGGAAAATCTAGAAATTTTTCTAAGTTTAAGAAATGAGTTTTGGCCATCTTCAAATAATCATAACTTCTAGCTCACGATGAGTTAGAGGTAGTTCTTGATGTGGTTGAAAAGCCCTTGGAGAGATATTTCCAACGCCGTCGAGTTTGCACATTTTCGATATCGTATGAGGAAGATATGTCTTTCAGAATTTGGATTGTTAAGGTGAGGAAATTTCAATTCTAGATTTAAGGAAGGGCAAACTAGTTTTTTCACCAATTATTTCCTAATTCGTTTTAAGAGTTTAATTGGGGTAAAAATTAAGTCTTAAGTCAGTTTTGGAAAATCAAATTTATTCTTAGGGCTTCGGAGAAAAGAGAAGAGAAAGAAGGAGAAAAGAGAAGAGAAGAAGGACAAGTAAAAAAGATGAAGGTTTCGCCAGATTAACGTCAGTTTGATGTTTATCAAAATAAAATATAAAATTTGTTTACATATAAAGAGCTCTTTAGATAATGAA